ATTGTAACATACTCATGTTAATGCAGGCTCAGCCAATAGCAGTACATTTTATAGAAAAGTTACTACCAACAATGAGAAGCCTTTGAAAAAAACGCATCCTCCCATGGCAGGGTCAGCGGCTCCGAATTCCTTCTCCACCCCTTGTAAGGAATTCGGAGCCGCTGCCCCTGCCATGGGAGGATGAAAAAACGTAAAGGGGAGCTGTCTATGGATTGCACATTTTTCTGGGTTCGGAAATATTGTTTTAGGATGGTTTTGTGTGGGTTTGTGTGTATGTTTGTCCAGTTAAGGTAGCTGAACCTTTCCTTTTTTGTGTTGGTTGGGACGCAAGGACGTTTCAATTTCTCTATCCTTTGGGGCTATGATCTTCTTTTTATTTCCTTCCGTCGTTTTGTGTAGATTAAAATGAAATTAAGCTGCTACTGATGATAATATTTTAGCTCATGACTGACCGACACAGACGACGCTGTACAGACGATCCGATTGGTGCGGCCACCATATTGCTATGACGTCATGCCATACCTCCCGAGAAAACCTATCGTCCAATGAGAATGAATGATACACAAAGCACATGCCACCCCGCCTCTCGGGTTCACTATACACTGAAGGTCGAACAGGGCATGATAGTAACCCGTTGAAAAAGCCATTTGTCAAATGTTAACCAGCAACATTTGCCTTCTTTCCCCATAAGTCATGTGTCAGGTACAATTTCTTCGACTTACAACTTTATTCTGTCATTTTTGTTGACAGAGGGACTAGACGTGTGTGTGTGTGTGTGTGTGTGTGTGTGTGTGTGTGTGTGTGTGTGTGTGTGTGTGTGTGTGTGTGTGTGTGTGTGTGTGCCCATGTATGTGTGTGTGTGTGTGTGTCCATGTGTGCGTGTGTGTGCGCGCGTTTCAGTGTGTGTGTGTGTGTGCGTGTGTGTGTCTGCAAGCGATTCCACTACCTACCTGCACCCCCTCCCCATATCTCCCAAAGTGCCCAGAATACCCCAGCGGGCGATAGCGCTAACTCAAAACTGACACAGAAGGGCCGACACGATGTATACATTTCTCCAAGCGCTACATACTTGGCATTGACCTTCGGTCCTTAAGCGACCTCGCGCTTTTGGCGGCGTTTCTTAAGAAGTCTTTCTCACAAGAAGTCGGAACGGGTTTTCCATCAACGCTGAGGCCCCTGTCACACATAGCTGAATATGGCCCCCCGACGGTGTACAGAAAGTGCGAAATGGAACGAAATGGACGAAATGGAACGAAATGAAACAAAATGGAACGAAATGTGTATGAAGGAAAGCCGTTACCTCCCGAACACTGCCGAACTCCCCCCAACCATGGTTGGGAACAGGTCGGGAGTGGGTGGGAGGTTCGGCCATGGTTGGCTGGTGGTTAGCTGGTGTCCGGGAGTAGATCGGGGCGCGGTTGGCCCAGTCAAATTTGAGTCAAATTTAATCCAAATTCGATTTGATTCGTATAGAAAGGTGGGCGTAGTCTAAAATCTGCTCACGAACTTCAGCCAACCTTGGTCGGCTGGTGTTCGGGGGAAGGTTCTGAATGTGTGAAAACGATATGTGAAAGTCCCGGGTAGGGTCATCAGTTGTAAATAAAGACAGCTGAGTTCTTGTCTTGAAAAGGGTTCGGTTGGAACAATATACGAGAACATAGCGGTCTGGGGATGCCCACATGTGGCCTTGTACTGATTGATTTTGTCAGTTTGTAGTGATATCATCAGTCTTTGCATAGATTCTCTTCTCAGCTTACCGGCGTGTGTCTTGGCTAGCCTCTACCAGGCTTCAGATCACCATTAATTAATATGAAAACTCCACAGCACTCCAAACCCGCAAACCCTGGGAGTAGTGACGACAATGACAAGTAAGCATGGTGACTATGTCAGAAAATTTCCGTTCTGTATAAGTGTGTTTCTGTACTTAACGACTTATGTATCTCACATAAACATCCTTTGGTTCTCATACCAGCACAATAAATGTCAAACTATATACAGCAACACATTTCTGACAACCCAAACTCATACATGACGAAGGTATGGAGTCATCGACCTCTTGTTTTTCTTTATATTTCGGCTAAAATGATCCAACAAATAACGTCTCGATGACCCGTCCACCTGTTTGCTTGTGGACAAATATTTCACCTGATTTACTGAAGAAAAATCCCTTCTCGAAATGCGTCAAATATGCCGTTTCAGACTTCAGAGGGTTTGAAATTCAGATCGAAATTTTTATACAGTTGCCAGCGGTTGATAAAAAAAGGCTGGTGGGTGGGTTTTTGCTAGAGTCAGTCGGGAAACCAGAACCAGAAGCACCGCATTTTTTCATAGCCCCCAGCGCAAAAGCGGAGCCTACGACATTATAAATACCGACCTACTTTTCGGGACTTGCCCTAGTTGAAGACGGTAACAGTATCCAGGCGCAACTTTGCGCTTACCGTCATACAAATATCATAATCCTACTCGTACATCCTAAAAACTGACATATTCAACACAGTTTCCACCTCTCTGTTGTGAATGGGAGAATCTTTGCGGTTTTTCCAAGTCTGTACCGCACTACTTTGTGTCCAAACTACTACTGATTCGCCCATACCAGGGACATACAGTCCGACCAAAAAAACTGGTAAAACTGGTTTGGACTGCCACACTTTTCCATGAGCCATTTTTTATCATCAGAGAATGAAATTTTCCTTGTACAAACTATTTTATCTATGAAGATATAATTATAGAGCGCCTAACAGACACAAATCACCTCTCTGTCTTTGTTTTCCCCAATGTCAATGAGGTTTTGAGACCTCATTGGGGACTTGCTTTCCCTCGTTGCCATCCTTCTCACCCCCATTTTCTGTTTGGTTTATTCCAATTACCGCTGACCCTTATGCAATGTATGTATACCAAAGTTTGGTTATATCCGAGTCGACAGCAAGATTTGAGGAATTTTGACCGTTTTTACACATCATAACAGGTATGTTTATCATCCCTGTTGACATACATTTTGCTTCAACTCCTCAGTGTATGAATTATGTTAAGTTTGTACGTTGCGAATGCCATGTACCGCAAAATGTATGCCGATAGACTACAGTATGTACATGTATTGTACAAATGTAATAATGAAAACGACTTAGTTCGCCTGTGTTTTAATGCATGTTTGCTAACTCAAATGTTTGGAAATTGTATTGGTGGTTTGATGAAAAAATATAACAATGCATCTCCTAAATAACTGAATCAGGGGCATTTTCTAATTCTTTGTTACATTCAGTTTGCGACAACTCAAAATCATGTTCAGAAAGTTGCTACCGACGATGTCGCTGTTTCTTCTTGTCTTGGGGTCCGTTTCATATTTTTCCCAGGTGAGTGCCTGTAGTATAATAAATTCTATACAGTAACACATAGCGGAATATGGCCTCCTGAACACTGCCCCCCCCCCCAACCATGGTTAAGAGTTGGTCGGGAGCAAAGCCGGCCGGCATCGTGGGGTCGTGTGGCGTAGCGGCAGAGTGCGCGACTCGGAACTAAGAGTCCCGGGTTCGAGTCCTGACATGCCACCGATCTTGTGCCCTTGGGAAAGGCACTTTCACGACTTTCCTCACTTAGCTCAGGTGTAAATGGTATTGTCCTGTAATGTATTTGTCCCCTGTGTTGGTGGCGGCATTAATATTGAGTGTGTCGTCACCACGTCTGGTGATTACATGTTGGAATAAAAAAAATAAAATAAAAAGCCAGCATACCCCTCAAAACATGACCTCTGGCCTCCGAAATACTGTAACTTTATTTGCTAAGCTTTTATATTTTGATTTAATTTGCTAAGCTTTCATATATCAATTTAGATAGGTTATATGCATGATAGTTCTATTAGTATGTATATGTCTGTATATTTTGTTTACGTTGCCCGATATCAGAATAAATTAATACGGTCGGCTGGTGTTCAGCTGAATGTTTCATTAATTTTTTGCAAAGGATACTTAATAGTATCGTCATTGGTAAATACCACTTTTAAATCAGTGAAAGTTTTAGAGTAGCGTCTTCCTAGCTAAGGCTCTTAATGTTTCAGGACTCTGTGATATATTCAGTGTATCATTCATTCCAGGTATTTGATACATGGCATACATCCTTGCAAGAACTCCCTGCCTTCGATACCCGGGAATGGTAAGTAATACTGACGAAAGCAATAAAAGATAAAATGAAAAACATTAAAAAGTACAAATGTGCACCGTTTCAAAACTCTTTGTTGTTATCCGCACCATCCCGTACGTAACTCTCTCATCAAGGAGAAAACTTGACTTTTGTATTTACCCCAGTGTAGGGAGGTTTTGTTTCCAGTTTGTTCCTTTTCAGTGTTTTAATACATTGTCCTTGTCAGTTTGCAATTAGCCCCGGACATGGACTTGCATTAAAGAACTTGTTACCTTCGCCAAGAATTGACGAAGGTTATGTTTTCCTGGCCGTGTGTCTGTGTGTCTGTCTGTCAACAGCATAACTCGAGAAAGCTTAGATGGATTATCTTGATATTTGGTAGGTGGGTAGGTCTTGATGAGACCTGGAAATGATTAGATTTTGGACCCCCTAGCGGCTTGTTATGGTACTGCAGCTAAACTTCCGGTTTTGATATCTCATGATCTAGACATGCTGGGGTGGCAAAATTTGGATGGTAGGTAGCTCTCATGCTGGGGAAGAAGTGACATGAGTTTGGGCCCCCTAGCGGCTTGCTCAGGAACTGCAGGGCTATCTGTTTGAAAATATTCAAAAGAGGATAACTCAATAACTGGTGGACGAAGGTATGAGATCGTGGGACTATAGTTGTTTATTGTTGATACGAAGGAAAGTAAACTAAGAATTGGTTTGTTTTCCAGGGCCGTAGATGAGACAAAACAGGAAAACAAAGAGGAGACATCATCATCAGCAACCACATGCACCCCACGCAGAAAGTTCGTCTTCATCAAAACCCACAAAACCGGGAGTTGTACGGCTGGGGTCATTGTCCGCAGGTACGCCATCTATCACAACCTGACGGTACTGTACCCGGCCGTGGCTAGCGGACCCAACATGCTGGCCTGGCCGTTCCAACCCGCGGAGGAGGATTATGTCCACACGCCAGACGAACAGTATGACGCCATCGTGAACCACATGCGGTACAATAAAACATGGCTACGGGCCAAGTTTCCAGCCGACACGGCGTACTTCTGTAAGAACTGTTTTCTTTTTTATTATTCTGGGCGTATTTCTTTGCTTTTGTGTTTTTGGCGACGTCTCAGGGAGGAGCCTAATGGCACAGTATTGTGTGCAGTTTGCAAGAATTCTAGAAATGGTACAGGCATTTTGTCCACAGGAATGGAATGTCCACAGGCATGTCTCTGACCCACATCTATG